GACCGTCGCGCTGGGCGACCGGGGCCGGGGGCTCGGGACCCGCGGGGCGCCCGCTCCACTCGCGGGCCCTGGAGGCGCGGCGCGCGCCCACCACGCGCGCAGATGCTGCAGGACCCGAGGGCGGTGTGGACGCAGGTCCCAGACACGGCTGTCCCGAGAGGAACATTCGCTTTCACTTTTGCTTCAGCCCCCGAGGGCTGAGAGAGGTGAGAACGGTGACAAATTCGTGACTCAGCACCCCCACCTCTACCCTTTCAAACGCCCCGCCACCGCCCGACCCCCGCCCCTGGTCCCAGTAGGGCCCTGACTGGTGGAGCGGGGACTGGGGCCAGGGCACCTGGCGAGCTGCCCCTTGCGGAAGCCCGAATTCCGCCTCTCCCTCTCCTGTCCCTCCATATCCCCAGGGCCATTTAGCCTAGTGGCCCCCGGGCAAAGAAAGTGGCCGAAGCCACCGCGAGCACGCGCTCGCCACGGAGTCCATGGCTTCCTGCCTGTGGTCCGCTTGGCAGGGTCCAAGTTCAACTTCCCAAGATGGTCTCAACTCTTGCCCGCGGGTTCCAAACGAGTAGTCCTTCGATCCGCAGCCCGGGCTGAGAAGGCACCTTCCGGGGTGGGGCGTCCGTGGAGGCCGTGGGGGTGCGGCCGCAGGGAGGCTGGCGGGGGGCCGCTGACCTTGCGCCTAGGTCCCCAGCCGGGGTGCGCCAGGCCGGCAGCTGCATCGCAGCCCGGGTCTCCTAGCTGCCTCCTGCCCTTTGCCGCCTGGAGCTGTTAGCACTACCAGTTTATCATATTCCACAAGCGCCTTTCTTACTGAAAAAAATTTCGCATATCTGAAGGAAAACCCAAACCGAACGGAACTCACTGCCATTGGGTCCAGTTTTGTTTTGTTTTTGCGAAGGAGAGTGGGGGATGGGGTGGGGTGGGAAACAAGAAGAACTAAGTTATTCTTCCGTGTGCCATATTTTATTCCTTAAGTCCTCCTCCTAGTGTCCCGTCCTCTCCTCTCTGGTGTCGTTAAAATTAGTGTCACAGTGCGAAACTACACCATGCTGAATCCCTACCCTGGGCTATCAAGTTGACTTCGTTCGCCTTGTAGCAAGTCTAGGTAGGGTTTTCAAGGCTATAAATCATGACTGGAGCAGACAGCCTCATCTTTCTCCCATAAAGCGGGTAGTGGATTTAAACCACTGACATTGTAGTCAGCAGTCCAACACTTACCCAACTGTGTCGCTCCTTAGAGAATCCTTAGCAATGTTTATTATCAATATTTTTAATCATAGGAGCAAAAGTAAAATGGAGATGGACTTGGAGTGTTTATTGACAAACTAGATCACCTCAAACAAAAAACTTAATCACAAGGGATAAATGTAGTTGTAAATTGCTCAAATTTATTATGTCTTAGGCTATATGAATACTAGCAATAACAGTGTGTAAAATCTCTCCATTGAGTTTCAACATTATTAATTGCATATTAACTAAGTAAAACCGATTTTTCTTTTTCTTCTCTGTGCCCTTTAACAATAACTCGTTGTTTAAAAAGTTCTTGATGTACGTTCCCAAATACTCCTGATCACAACACTGTAGTTTAAAAAAGCCATGCATGTTTATATTAGGTGCAAAGGAAACCAGGTGATTCAAAGTGTCCTTGTAATTGATAATGACAGCTGTGATTAAAACCTGTTACCCCTGACATCGAGGTGATTCTGACCCCTAGTGGACCACAGGCTGTAAATCTTTTCAGGAGCAAAATCTCATCATTTTTCAAACAGGCAAAGCTGCTGGGGCCGTTGATCTACCAATTTAGTGGTTAGCAACCCATAGCTTACCAAATGTTACAGACAGTGGCACATTAGAAGGTTCAAAAAGCAGATTGGCTTGGTTGGTATATTGGTACATGTAAGTTGAGTTTATAAAAATAGCTTTTATTATAACGAAGTACAGGGATATTTTAATAAAAATAATAAAGTTGTGATGAAACACTGCACACATTTTCATAATTTCGGTGTCACTCCTATAATAGAACCTTCTGGTGTGGTTTGCACCTAATGATATCGCTGCATCCTCCACTCTTGCTGGAGGATTTCCCTCCTTCTTTTCTTTGGTGAGTGAAGTAGATGTTACTGAGAATGGCTCTGCAGGGCAGGGGTGGGGAAGATACCGCCCTTGGGCCATATAAGGCCTTCAAAACCATCAATACCAGCTAATAACACATGCCTCACCAAAGAGGAGCCTTTCCAACCATCCAGTTAGAGATGAGTTCATTCAGTGTTTGATCAGTATGGCCCTTGAATGATGTTATAAATATACAATTGGCCTTTGGTAGAAAACAGGTCCCCCAAGCCTGTTCTAGGGGTACAGAGAACTGAGACTGTAGTGGGAGAGTTCAGAATAAGGAGGTAGACTAGTTAGTCTATTATAAGAAGTTGAGAGTGCTGTGTGGTACAAAGTCCAAATAGCTCAACTATTGCCTAAACGGTTTGGAGGTTATAAGCCAGGCAGTCTGTTTCTGGAAGGTCACATTCATGAAAATCCAGTGTAGCACACTTTACCATGGCATACATGTGCTCTCCCTATGTTGGAATCGACTCTACAGTCACTAACAACAAGAAGTGAAGCTAGGCAAGACTAGATGTTACTCAGCTTCTTTCTTCTCAAAGGCTCACACCTTTATTATTAGGCTTTTGTGAGATAGCACATGCAAATGTTCTTTGAAACTAGTTCAGGCATTTATAAACATAAATTATTAGTATAATTTCCCACATTGGCATGATCAGTATAAAAATGCGTTCAAAAGGAATTCAGAGTGTTGGAAATCACACATGGCCCCAATCTCTAAGTATAATCGATGTCACCTTTTTTTATGTTCCAGCTTTACAAAGGCTCTTAATATGGAAATGGTCAAATACCCAAGGAAAAAGAATGGGATAATGAATCTCCAGCTGTCTACAGTACAGTTTCTATAATTCTAATGGGCCTAGTGGTTACAAGTTGGCCGGCTAGCCTCAAGTTTGGCAGTTTGAAACCACCAGCCGCTCTTCAGGAGAAGGATGAGGCTTTCTACTACCGTAAAGAGTTAAAGTCTGGTGGGCGATTGGGGAGAAGTAACATCATATCGGGAAGGGTTGCTAAACAGTGATTGTAGGGAACCTAGGGGACAAGGGACCAGATTTTATGTTCCTGGGTAGACACTATGAATACGTTTCTACCTAACCCTCAGTAAACCACGCCATGGACTAAGCACCATGATGACCTTGGACGCTGACCTTGCAGGCAACATAGCTTAACCCAGGGGCTACAGCAGAAGGGCTTAACATAGAGGCCTGGCTGAATGAACTGAACCCGGCCTCGAAGCTTCCTGTAACCTTGGCCTGTGGACTGGGGTACTTGGATGGGAGAGAAAGCAGAGAGTGACCGCCCGGACCTGTGGAAGTGGGGGTCATTGGACCTTGGGGGGGAACCTCAGATTTGGTAAGTATTCAATGGAAAGGGACCCAGAATCACCACGTATTTCGTACTTCGATGCCTCCCTCGCAGTGACATGACAGGTTTTGATCTGTTGGACAGGGATCTGAACTTGGAAAAATTGATCCATGGAAGTTTCCTCCTGGCACCAATCCCTGTACTTTTGGTAGACAGAGCTCAGTTGAATGGAATATCAAACTGTGTAGAGCAGCGGTTCTAAACCCGTGGGTTGAGACTCCTTTGAGGGTGAAACATTCCTTTCACAGGACTCACCTAAGACCATCGGGAAACACATACTTCTGATGGTCTTAGGAACGAGACACCGCTCCTCTATCCATCTCCAGGCCAGTCCACCCACATGCAGATACACCCACATACGAGTACCCGGCGTGAGGACGGTTACCCGTGCTACAGCATGCTTCAAGACAAAATTTCATTAGAAGTAAATATTTCACAATATATAATTACATATTGTTTTTGTGATGAATCACTATACTTTCATGATGTTCAATTTGTAACAATGAAAATAAACCTGCATATCAGATATTTCCATGATGATTCATAACCGTAGCAAAATGACAGCTATAAAGTAGCAATGAAAATAATTTTATGATTGGGGGGTCACCACCACATGAGGAACTGTACTAAGGGTTGTGGCATTAGGAAGGTTGAGAACCACTGGTGTGGAGCATCAACTCATGGCTTGCAGCTCATGGTGGCACTGTACTTGCATTGCCTACTCATACCAACAGTGTCTGGAATTCTGTGTCACTGGAAAAACTGATGATGCTATCAGTACAATAGCTTTATATCCCAGGGGGATGATCGACAACGGTTTGCTTTTCTGTTTCTATGGGTTTTTGTTTTCCTGCCTTTAGTTTTGTTTGTTTGTTTGCTGGTTGGTTTGTTGCTATTGTTGGGGTAGTTGGTCTTATGGAGTTTTGATTTTGTCATAATACAACTGCCAAAGTAAACTGAGTTGTGCATATCCCAGGGACAAGGAGATATGCGATATGAATCCATCCCCACTTAACTCTAGCCCAATCCAAGACCAGTTAATTCCAATAACATGGTCCTGCTCAATACTCACCTTCATGAAATGATCACTGAAGATAAAAGTGGTACAGCAAAGTGTGGTGAGGAAAGCAGATCATGCTAGCTATCAGTCAGAATAGTGTCTGGGGTCTTAAGGTTTGTATTCAAACAAGCAGCCATCTAAGGAAGGAGTCAACTGAGTCCACATGGAAGAAGCCTGTGGGATTCAAAGACAACAAAAAGAAAGTTCAAATATGACAAAGGGAAAAGTATTAGAGCTTAAATTGTGAACACCTAATTTGTAGAAAGCAGTGGAGAAGAGTGGGAGCCCAAACCCATCTTCAGAGCATCTAGCCTGATGAAGCCGATGGCAGATCCCCTCTGACCACAGCTTTACTATCAGATAGAGATCATTGTAATCTTGGTCATACTGCATCGAACTTGACACTTTGTCAGTTGACCTCTCTCTTCACCCAACCTGAAATTGTTCTGGGTGAAAATATTTCTCACTTTTTCCATGACAAAAAATTTCTTCCCTGGACTTTTAGATACCGATGATGGTCTTTTCTTTTTTACTCATTATTTGTATATTTGTCCTTATATTATTTTATCTCTACCACTTTATTTGGCTTCCGTTTTTTGTTTCAGTTTGTGAAACACAGGAGTAAC